CAAGCATGAATAATTAAACCATTTCACAAGGCTGCTTTAACGATATATTACATGAGAGGAAATAGGTCAAGCAGCAACGTTAGAAGGCCTGTTTGCTCGGGTGTTATTGGGTTAAAAAAGAGACGGGGAACAATGCGGGTCTCCCTTCGCGCTCCACATACTGTACTTACTCTGCAGGATGACAGACAGCTGCGGATTCCCAGTTATTTTCCTCCTGATATGACTAAAGGTTACATCTGGGTCATGCTGCTGTTCTACGCCAGTTAAACGTCAACTTGAACCCAAACACTGGAGGGGATGTTCACCAGCAGACGGGAAAAGCCCACAATTATATTAGTTTTTTGTCTCCTTTAAAAAAATAATTAAAAAAAATGTTAGGAGCTCATTTTTGACATGCAAATATTAATAGAATAAATGATCAGGATTGAGTTTGGCAAGGAACATAAAAGTGGAGCAAAAAATTAGATTATAGCTATTTGAAAGAAACATCGACTGGCCGTACATAATTATTTTCCTAATCAGTCAGTTTAAGCCCTTTGAACTACGCATCGTATGTGGAGAGCATCATGGGGATTTTAGACGATTACCAGTTACACGAAACACATTATGGTGTATTTTAGTGTCAATCCCTTTGATATTGACGATTCTATGAATGTAAGAACACAGCAACACTTTATGGTTTAAGAAACACATTTTTTCTAAATTGTGTCCACAGTTGCAGATACGTAATTATTAAAGCTGCTTTCATGGGTGTCTTGGCCTGCAGGGGGCGCAACAAGCGGGAAAGACACAGAATCACGTGGTGAGGTCGATACGGCAAATCTCAGCTCGACATCCTGCAAATCATGAACATTAAAGTTCTTTCAAAGCTGTGTTTGCCAACTCCTGAGAGGAATCTCCAGCTCCTCTGCTGCTAAATACCCCGCCAGCTAACTTCGTCCGTCCATCGATTTGTGCTGATGGCGTCGTGGGCTTTTCACAAAATGGTCTCTGCCGACGTAGGACGGGTACATATTCACCTGTTTGTATGTATATAGCAAAAAATCAAATCATTTGTTTAACCTTTAGAAATAATTTGAGCTCATTCGTTGGCGATTTTGAACCCATCATTTTTACCACAGGGGAAATTTACTTCACGGCCTTAATCGTCTATCTGAAATTGGAGAAATTTCAACTTATGGAGGGCAAAATTTTAAAAATGGTTTCACAGTGCGACTGTTGTCAAGACCTTTAACGTCACCAGGCATTAATCTTACACTATGACACGATTACTTATCGTAAGGTCTCTTTGCATAGTAACTTCTAACGTTCGGCCCTGAGGACCAACACACTGAGCTGCGCTCTCAACAACAACAACAACAACGACGCTCACATCCGCTTGCTCTCCCTCGCCTGCTTTCAACTCTTACACGGGACAGGGCCGCATGCTACTGTGTGCACAACAGCGCTGCCGAATGAATTGTTGGAACCGCAAACACTTCTCTTAACGCCTGAATTTAATGTAATGTAGTTTCGGGGAAACGTCTCGATGCTGTCGTCAATACTCAAGGACCACGGCATCATTTCGTGATGTGTTAAGTGATGTTTACATGTTTATGTGATCACTGATTACTACCATCAGTGATTCATGTGATTTGTTATTCCTCATCCTTGAAGCAAGATCGTATTAGGCTTGCATCATTATATCGCTACAGTCCTGCTCTGGGAATTGTTTTTATTTTTATTTTTAACTGCTTGTCAATCACGCAACTGGAAACTTCTGTTTCATTTCAGACAGCCTCTGAATCAGTAATAGCTCTTTGTTTTTTAGCTTTGGTAAATTTTCACAGGAATTACAGGAATATACTTCTTAAAATCAAGCAGCTGCTTTGACTGTATGCATATGTTGTTGTTCCGCTTTGAGAATTATGAAACCAGACTTCAAACACAAGCTGTCCGTTGTGATGAAATTCCATATTTGGATTAAAGACCGGTTTGGATTTCCTCAACCGTCCTGCTCGAATCATGAGCGGTATAATTTGAGTCCTTATCGGTGATCGCAAAACTGGAAAAAAAGCTCCGGTTGAGTCCAGATTTTGCCCAAATGGATAATTAAACCTAAAGCTTTCGGGTTTTTAAAAACGTCGGGCTTCCCAGAGTCAGATTGGACCTAATGTGAGCAGGTCTGTGAGGAGTGTGCTTGTTTGTGCTCCACTTGAACCCGTCAGATGTTTGCTGGAGCCCTTTTTCACGCCCTTCACGCGTTTTCAAAATATTTACCATTTTCCGCTGGATAATGTTTGGTATCAGACCTGTATGTTTGTAGTAATCATTTGGACGTTGTTTCCAGAATAACAGTTTGTGAAAAAGTGCCCATGATTCTTGTTTGCCCAACAGGGAAATGATGGACAACCACGAAAGGACTTCGTTCTCTCATTTCTAGATTTCTACATTTCGAGAGAACAGTTTGAATACTTGAACTGTGTGAACTGAGATCTAACCAATTAGACACTTCTGAAATGCTAAAGAGAGGAAAGAGGACAGACACAAATGTCAGAGATGGAGGAAAAGGAAATAAAAAAAGCTTAATTGCAGAATTGTCCTCTTTCTCATTGCATTAGCTGAAACCAACGTAGGGAAGAGTCCAAGATCATTTGGTATTAGAGAGATTACTTGCATTAGCGCATGAATCTGCATTACAAAAACGTTAAGGAATTCCATATGTTTTCTTCTTTTTCTGTGACAACTCTTTCGTGGAGAAAAAGTGATGATATATAGTATATTTTGCATTTGCAACTTGCATTTGTTGGATCAGAAGCACCAGCGGTGCAAAAAGTCAAGAATTTAAAGATTAGCATCAAAAGTATTTGTCATATATAAATGCTACCTTTTCCAGTGTTTAGCAGACATATCATTGGATAAAGGAAATGAGTTGGGACTGTTTTTTAAATGTTCGTCTTATCATTAATGATCTCGATATTTTGCCATTAGGCCTTTGAAATAGTACTTGAACAATACTTTTCAATGTAAATAAGCCTGTGGGCTTCTATCGCCGCCATGAATTACGTCCTGTGTACCCTTCACTCCTTACAACGGTTTGTTCTGTCCTTCCGGTGCTCCATCATCCTGGGATACGAGACTACGCGTCATAATGGCGATTCTTCAACTCTGAGCGGTCCGGAGTAGACTGCAAATGAGTGTAAAGTTCAAACAAACATACAGAGAATGTGGCAAACTGCTTGTATGAGAAGCCGCTCCGGTTCTTGATGAAATCTGAATTTATCGCCTTGGATGATTTTCAAGTTCTGTTTAAAAACCGTCGGTTCATTCTCCGGTCATCGAACACAGGTCAAAGTTGGCAAACTTTTTGTTGTCTCTCAGCATCAGTGCTGCATGTTCTCTTCCTCGCTGCAGAGAGAGCCACAGGTGGCTCCAAAAAGAAATTAGAAAAAAGGCACTAACAAGACATATGTTTGTCACATTCTGTTACAGTGAAGGAACACGCTTAAGTGAAACCTGTGCACGCCGTGTCCCGGAAAATCTTCGAGCAGCCAGGTATGAGAATTGCAACCGCGTGAGGGAGGGAAAAGCTCATCAAGACTTAAGGGATGACAGATCACACCATCTGCACGAGGATCAGACGCCGACGCACGACAGGTGAGTGAAAAGTTTTTAAAGGCCAATCAGAAAGTTTATTTTTTCTCAGAAGCACTTTGGCGAACAGAAACGTGGGCGTGCACAGATAGGCAGGTGACCCCGGCGAGTGGCGGCAAAGCGAGGCCTTCTTGCGGTAAAGGAGATAAGGCGGCGGTGGGCGCCGCCGGTGCGCTGCCTGTCACCGGACACACACACACACACACACGCTTTGTGTGCACGCCGGGTGTTAAGAGCCGGCCTAGACAGGTACGGCTCGAGCTTGATGTGAGCCGTGATTGATGGGCACGGGGGTTCAGGTGGAGTTCACAGGGGGTCTCCGGTATCATTGGCGGAATGAGTGACAGACACAAAATAGGGTGATGGAGTATTAGCAGGAAGCCGTTTGTAATGCGGTGTGCAGAGACTGGACCTCTGAGGGGTGTTGTCTCTCTGAAATGAAGTCATCCATCACCTCGGCGTCATATTTGATTAGGTCATGAGTAGCTTTTAAACAAATGGAGGCTATTCAATATCGCGCATGCACGGTATGATACAAAAGCTACATATTGTGTTCATATATCAAAGTTAGCAGGCGTAGCATGAAAAGTACTCAGTATTGTATATTGATTTCAAAGTAAAAAAAGACAAATCAGAACTTGTGGTTCTGCAGAAGTCGCGTTCTGCACAGAAAAATGTTAAAAAAGTTAAAGATCCTCAGTTTCTGCTTGTAAAGAACTTAATATACAATTATAGATGCAATGTTTTATTTTGTAAGTGACCTAGTTATTATTGATATTATTATTTCACTAAAGAACTTAACATTAGTATTCATCACTATGACTAACATTACTCCATGCACAACAAATAAACATCTCCCCACTTAGAAATCAGGTGTCCCCTGTTATGTATTTAATGTAAAATAAACATTTACTTTTTCTTTTTATAGGCAGGCACCTAGTTTTGAAAGTATGACTATAGTCCTAAGGTCACCAGGGGACTAAATTGATTAAATATGCGTTTGAATCTCACGGTTTACATTGCAGTGAACTAAAACTATAAAAAAAGACCATTGAAAAGTTACACAAATGTAATCAGATTACACCCCTGAAACGATGTGTACCGTCACCTTTTGAGTCAAATGACTTTTATCTCGCGTTCTCCTTCACGCAATAAACGCTCTTCTGTGCCACCGGAGCAGCGACGGCAGCTCTACTTTGTGTTGGAGGAATTCCTACAAACTTTATTCCTTTCGTTCGGGCGACCCGGAGCGGAAGCGGCACGAAAAGGGTCTTTAAACACACACACACACACACACACACACACACGCGCGAGCGTAGAACGCAGCAGCAGCACAGAGCGCGAGCTCCCGCCGCCTCCTCCTCCTCCTCCCTGGCCTCTGTTCCTTTAATAAACTCACGGTTATCTGGTGTAACAAATGTCTCGCTGCCACCGTCAAGTCCGGGCGAGGAGGGAGGAGTTTTTAGTGTTCAGTTTGTTCTGCGGATCGATGTCTGCCGGCGTCGCCGCTCCGCGCGCGTAACATCACCGTAAAGAACCTCGAACCTCGATTCCTTCCTTTCTTTTTTTCTTTTTTTAAAAACCCAAACGCCTCTCGCGCGCGCGTTCCCCTCCGCGTGCGAACCCGCCGAAGAGCCGCACGCACGCACGCACGCGGAACTGACTGACACGCGCCGATCAACGTATGTGGCGGCAGTGATGATGGACCGAAGCGGATGGCGAAAGGAGACGATTCGCTCCCTGTAAGAGGAGGAGGAGGAGGAAGGAGGAGGAAGGAGGAGAAGAAGAAGAAGGTGAAGGAACAAGCGCGACGGAACATTTGCTTCCCCGTTGAAAACGATTCCTGGTTGGATTTTTTTTTTGTTGTTTTACAGTGAGAGAGACTAAACTACTGCGAGAGCCCGAATAAAGACAGGCGCGCGCACGCACGCGTTCCTTCTCTCTCTCTCTCTCTCTCTCTCTCTGTGTGTCTCTGTGTCTCTCTCTCTCTCTCTCTCTCTCTGCATGGACTATCGTTCTCCGCATTCAGACTCCACCTGGGCACGTTAGTGAACCGCGACTCCGAAACGCACGATGCCGCGGCGGAAGCAGCAGGCGCCCAAACGGGCTGCGGGTAAGCGACTCTACCGTTTCCCTTCTCACCGACAACCGCTTTACAGTCATCGGTAATGTTTGCGTCTGTCCTCCTCTGAATAGCTCGCCTAATCCACCGCCCCCAAACTTTTAAGGTGTGTGATTATCTGCATGTGACCCCTCGGGTTCCCCCAGCAGGTTTCGGAGTAGTTGGTTCAGTATTTAGCGGGTTACAGTTATATAACCATGTGAGCAGCACGGACACCGACTTCTTTTTGCTTTTCCGAACCACAGTTTGGGTCAAAGGTTTAAAGCCCTGGTCGGTTACAGCATCACCGCCTGTGTCCTTAGTAAAAAGAAAACAAAGGCTAATAAAACAAGAGGCAGCCGGTACTTGCTGACAGGTCACGTCAGGATTCGTTCATCCGTCGATCAGAAAGTTTAGCTTCCACTTTACAGTTCAACAAACCAGACGGCCCCTCGGTGTGTTTTGGTTGGAGCCTCTTGTGGGGCAGAGAGGGGATGAGGGACGTGGAGCTGCTGCTGCATCCAGCAGGTGAACTCTGGGTGAACTCTACGTAATCTTATGGACAAATGGAGAATGGGTTACAGTCCTACACACACACACACACACACACACACACACACCTTTTTCTCAGCAGTGTCATTCGGGAATATCCACTGGACGCTGATGGGATTGATTGTCGAACTATAAACTGGTTTCACGTGTAAACGTTTGTGTTTCCTCTCCATAATATCGTCCTGGTGGATTTTCCCCCCTTTTTGTGACATTAAATCTATTTCGTCCCCAATAGACACCAAACACTCCACAAAATGTTTCTTTTCTAAAACGCCGTCCTTAAAGAAAAAAATGCTGACATTGGCAACGTCGGCATGATGTTAAACTTGACCTCATTGTCCGCCGTGTCCCCGCGTCCTACTTGGATGTCGTTCTTCTCCAAACTGGCTTGCTGTGAGGGAGCGGGTAGTTTTTAGGCCCCGAGGGGTGGTTTAACTTTTGGTGGGGGGGGTGAAGTTGGTTTTGGTTCTTTTTTTTTGGGTTGGGAAGCAGCACCCCATAGGGGTTTTTTCTCTCCCCCCCCCAAGGTTCTCTTTTTACCCCTTTAAAATCCCCAGCCCCTTTCCCGCGCTCCCCCTTTAAGGGTCAACCCCCACCACCACCCACACACCACCAGGTCCGCGCGCAAAAAAACACAAAAAGGCTCCCCCTTTCCACAAAGCGACCCCCTAAATTTTTTTTTCCCCCTTTTCACCCCCCAAAAGGTCCTTTTTCTAAAAAAAAAATCCCCCCCCCCCCCCCCCCCTGGTTTTTATCCAGAGAAGTTTTGAGAAGACGCCTAAGTGATCCCTTTACACGCTCTCGCCTGTACTCTAGTAAATGTGTCAGCCCTATGGAGAAATAAGCCTTCCACAAGAGTTTCTTCATTGTTGAGGTAATTGTCTCCTCTTTGACAGGCACATTCATCAGTGGCTTAATGGTCAATCAAAAGTTGGCAGGCAGAGTGTTTTCATTCTTTCCTATCCACTACATTAGGAATACTTAATCAAAATGTCTCCCGGTAATGGCTGTGAAGAGTTCATGACTGACTGATCCGTTGTCTGCGCCGATAGAAAATTAACAGCCCCGGCGCTGGAGAGATGTGGGCCTGCAGATAAACAAATTGTGCATTAATATTTCATCTTCAAGACCTGGGATGTGCTATCAAGCGGGGGAATATTCCTGGGCCGCGTTGTCATTTTTCTCGTGTTCATTTTCATTTTTTTTTTTTTTTTCTTTTTTCTTCCTCCTGTATTCTTGAAGGCTCTTTGCAGCTGTAACTCATTTCACTTGATGACTTTACTGGGGTTACAGAGAGTGACGACAAATTGATTACCTGGCAGAGCAAGAATGGAGCGAAGAGAGACGCAGGCTGACAGTCATGTTATAATAATATGTTTAATGATGTGTGGAGGGGGGGGGGGGGGGGGCACGAAGAGAGGAGTATTGAAATAAGAGCATGGAAGATGCAAAGGAATGGGGTTTTTTTTTTTGGCAGGGCTCTTAAAGATGCAGTATCCTTCTTGGTGGAAATAGTATTTTGCAAGGTGGTGTTTCAAAAAAAAAAGAAGAAAATTCCCCGTTGTGCATTAATTCAGAGGACATTGGGGGTGTTTGTAATCTCCTCCGGGAGTTGTGTTATTAATAGGCATGTTTGTGTAAAAACGTGAGACCACAGACCCACCAGGGAAGATTCACGTCCTTTGCAAATCCGTGGTTTGTGTGGCGACTTAAAATGCCAATTACTCACCGGCCCACGATAGGATGCACTAAACCTTTTCCTTACAACACAAGACGGCCATCGGGCCCCAGGTTCCAGGTGGAGACGCGCGTATCAGGTTCATACGCGGCGTGAAGCTAAAGCCCTGTAAGTGCACGGGAGGCATTTTTGAGTGAAGGGATCCATATGTTATTTTGCGGCCGTGGGAGATTTTTTTTTTTTTTTTTACAATAGCCCTGCGCCTCAAACCGTTAGCCCAATTTGCTGTTAACAAGATAAATTGGGAGAACAGACAAAGGCATTAAGTGTTGCGGTGCCAGCTAGTGACTGACAGCAGCTTGTGGGAATTGGCTAGCAGAGATTCCTCCTAAGTGGTTTGTTCAGAAAACATCCTACGATCAAGGCAGATGTTGTTTATCCAGTTTAGGTGGAAAAGTCCATTTTGAAGGACAAAGGCTGGGAGGGAAAATGGCAGCAAATGCAATGATGTCTTGCATACATTTCTTTAGTACCACATTACCGGCCGTCTTGGATTTTTTTGTATGATTACACTATTTTTTTGTTGTTGTCTGGAACCACTGTAACAACGTTTATTTTATTTTTTTCTGTGATTTTTGCATTTTGAATTCATTTAACCTTTGTTGCACATTGAGAACAAAAAGAGAACAATACAATGCTGTTTTCGTCTTTCAACCCCACATTTGATCTCTGATAAATCTGATGATTATTCTTTTTTTTTTTATTATTCTTTTTGCAATTATGTGCATGAGCGCTCATAAGATCTGATTAGCTCCAGGAAACGAGAGTTCCCATAGCACCGCCGGTTTACTCTCTGTGTAATCACGTTAACGACTGAATTATGAAAATGACCAAATGGAACAATATTGTAAAGACAGATTACCAACGACTGCTTCACCTTTTCTTTTTTCACCTATTGAAATGTGCAGGGGGTGGTTGGCGAACCGAATGTCACCTTCTACTCCAGAGCTACAAAATGCATGAAAACAATCAGGCGAAGCTCCCTGTGGCCTTGGAATCATGTGATTGTAGCTATTGTTTCAACGCGCCATTTTGATCATGTTGATACTCGAATCGTTGTGCTGTATCGGCTCCAGTGACGCTCTTTTCGTTGTACTTTTCAAGGCTAAAATGGGAATCCGTTCGTATTCAACAAATCGGAATCATACAATGAAAAAAGAGCTGCGCTTAAACCCGCCGACTAAAGTTTATGAGACAATTACTTTTTTTGCCCATTAAATGCAAAACCCTGCCTTGTATAAAGTCGGCAAGAGATTTTATCACTAGCGAGCATCGACTCTATATATAAATATATATATATATTTCTTTTTCGTGTGCGCTGCATCTCTCCGGCTTGACGTCAACAATGTTCAAAATGGATCAAATCCGGCGCGTTGCCTTATGAGCAAACCAAACCAAATACTTGCACTACTTCCTGCAACTTTCTAACTTGCAGGCGCTCCCCATAGAGACCCTTTAATAACTTTCTCTTCATCAGCTACTTTTCATGCTCTATATTCCTACATTACATTACATTACAGGTCATTTAGCTGACGCCATATTCCAAAGCCACTTACATTGTATTTTTAACCCATGTTTTTTTTTGTTTTTTTGCCCGGGGAGCAATTAGGGGTTAGGTGTCCTCGGTGGCTCAGGGATACTTCGACATGGGACATATGGGAGAGCTACTCCTGCAAGAAAGGTGACTGGTGTCGGTTGCTAATAGTTGTCCGAGGCTTTTGTTTGCACGGGAGGCAGGCGGGCTGGTGCACCGTCTAGGTGACAAGAACCAAGACTGGTGCGGCCTCCAGCACATTGATCTCTCTCTCTCTCTCTCTCTCTCTCTCTCCTCCGCCCCTTGTGATTGGTCTGGAAGCGAGTGGCTTGCGCAGTGTTGCACCTCTCCACAGCAACCGCTCGCTCACCTTGCCTTCCCTCCGAGACCTGCACTAGTTTCTGGGCAAATGACACGATTTGATATGCGGTCGGGGTGATTCATGTGGATAATGTGTCCATGTGATCATCACTGCAGAAAAGAGACCATTTCTTGTTATGTTTTTTTTTCTTCTTTTCTTCTTCTTCCCCTTTACTCATTAAGTCTGACAATAACTAGAATATTTGGAGGGGGTTTTATTGCGAGCGGGCTAAAACTCATTATTTCTGCCAGACAACCCAAGTACAAAAGAAATGATGTTATGGTATTTTGTCCAGGTCCCCACAGATGTCGTGATTTACGGAGGAGAAAGAAGGAGGAGACTTTACGGCTCGTGTGGTTCATTTATGTGGATGCGAGGCGAGCTTACAGTTAATACAGTAGCACCACGGGGGCCTGGTATCGATTACACGGGGGAGGTGTGGCGTGTTTTACATGGCTTATGGTCAAAACGCACCGCACCGCATGTGCTTCGTGTTAGACCGTAGACATTCCCACCGTTGTTTATGTCTTTTGTAATTCATCATCTGGGGTTTTGGTCAAAAGCACGTCATCTCTTATTTTAGAGATTTGAGTGGAGACATCCATCTCGTAGTTGTTGACCCACATGTGTAGTGAGTCAGAGGTCATCAGCGTTGTGGGGGGGGGTCTGAGGTCCTTTCCCCTTTTAAACATGGCTGCAGTCTGATTTCAGAGGTGCAGAGCAGCCGGATGCTCTGATTAAGAAGCTCCTCGGAGGATCGTTCAAAGCGTCATTTGCGCAAACCGTAAAGGTCGTGATTTAAATGTTTAATGTTTAAGTTGAATCTA